AGCTTTCATAATATTTTTGCTATTTAATATGTAACATATAAAATGATTTCACTAGAATAAAATCGAGCATTCTCAGGCCTACAACAGCAACTCATACACATATGAGACCACAGTTCTTTGGTAAGTAGATTAAAATTCAAACCTTTATGATTGATTAACCATCAAAAGCAACAAATATTCAGAGCAAAAAAGAAGAACTATAACATAAAGCAGTTGATTCAAAAAGCTTTTAGATATTTACTACTAGAATTCAAGCAGGAATAAAGTAGGAACAGAAAAGGATAAAGACTTGACCAACAAAGTATTTGTATTTTCTCCCATCCCATATACAAGGGAAAACAAAGCTGAATACTTGGGACATGAGTACAATGGTTACACTGCTGCCATTATCTCAGAGGAGAGAAAAACCTGGAAGTCCTCGTAGGATAATGACGATATGATCTGGGCGGTTAGAACGATGTGGATGCTTTAAAATGTGAGAAGCATCAATAACTTTGGGCTTATCCAGTAAGAGATCCCTATAAGGCTTTTCACTGGACGAGGCCATCGTAACGGTATGAATTTCCTGCAAGCCAGACAATCAAAACCCATAAATAGCACTCCAAAGTGTCGATATAAAAGACAAGCATGTTTGTAGCATAAATAGTATTATCCAAGATAAAAGACAAGCACATTTATAGCATAAATAGTACATCCTATAACTTCGGAATCCTAAACCTGAAAACTATTTTCGCTTCGATTTGGATACTGATTAGAAACCGATGTTACGGCTTACACACCTTTGTAAATGGAGACTGAAAGGGGGATGAAGATGAAACAACGTGCTCTGCGAATTGAAACCTTGGCAGCTCTACAGGAAGTGGTGGTGGTGGTGGCGGCGGTGGCGGGGAAATCGGTAGTGGAGGCTGCACCTGATTAGCTACGGCATATGGGCCGAGTCTAGGCTCCATTGCATGTTGCTTGTTTGAATGTGTCTCTGGAAACTGACTAAACTGATTTTTTAACTCCCAACTTTCGGTAGCAACATTTTGTCTCTGTTCTTGATGGGCTGCTTTATCATCCAACTGAACTCCATTCGCCGGTCTGAAACTTGTGTATGTGTGGGTTTCACGTATATTGTATCCATACCCCTGATTCTGCATCATGTGACCTAAACACACATTTCTGCCTTTTTCAACATCTAGATATGCATATTGTCTTTCTCCATACAGATCTCCAGGACTTCTGTTCTCACCGAAATTGCTCTGCCCGGAAGAATGACTGGGTAACCTATAACCTCCACTGTGGTTCATATCCAAACCCTGGCCCACAGCTCCATGATCGCGTATCAACTTCAATCGCCTCTCGTCCTCAGCCAAAGGCCTAGCCGCATAGTTCTCATACACATTGTCAAACCGCATTCTTTTGGCGCCCACCGGAACATTGCTGTTGTAATCCAATCCAGGATTTGAATCTTCGTAACTGTAGTTAGGGTTAGGGTTCCATGGCCGAGGAGGAATCTGGGCGGGGGGAGGTGGATAGTGATTAGATGCGGGACCACCTTGGTGGTCAACGAACGGATCATACGGTGTTGCCGACGGAGTTTGGGCCGCCGCCGGCGGCGGCGGCGGCAGGGGACTGTGGAAGAATTGATCGGGAGGTGGCGGCGGAGGTCTGTAGTACTGTGTAGGAGGGGGTGGGCAGAATGGGTAATGCGGATTCGAGCAGATTGGGCACAAATTGCCAGTTTGTGGCATGGGACGCCATGGATACTCCATCTTTAAGCTGAGATAGGAATTTGAGACTTGCGCAGTTTTAGGGCACCAAACGAGGAAGAAAGCACAGGACAGAACATATATAATGGGACACCAGCTCATATGATGGTCATATATTTATGGGGAAAATTTTTATTTGTCTTTTAAACTTTACGGTTTTTTTCACTTTACCTCCTAAATATTATTTTACATCTAAATATCTCATGAACTTTACGTTTTTTTTCACCAGCATCCCCTATTAACTATCTGTTTAAATCTCCGTCAATTCATGCCCCAAATTACCTATTTCTTCGTTCTTTAAACCCTAACAGTCAATCTCTCAGAACTCAACTCCGAAATTCCCAAATTTTGACCCTCTAAATCCCTTCAAAATCTGTGAAGAAGAGTGCTGTGAAGAAGTGAAATCATGTGGACACAAACATCCGAATTTATTATGGATGATTTTTGTCATTGTGGGAAGAGCGCTGTGAAGAAGACTTCTTGGACCGACATGAATCCATGAAGACGCTACTCAACTTGCGAGAAGTTTCGGGTATGTCCAATTTGCTTATCAGAGATGTTGAAAACCTTCACATTTTTAAAATTTTATTGAAACTCCTAATTTTTGTTTTAATTATATTTATTTTCACATTCCTGTATGATTATTTTTTTCTCCTATTTTTGTAAGCTTGAAATTGGTGATGGATTTTCCCTTTTCTTGATAGCTAGGAAGTTGGAGGTTGTACATACCGTTGTTGGATTGATCCACCGATTTGTGCAAGGGCTCGACATATTATTCCTGGCCTTGTGAAACGAGTGAGCATGCTTGAGGGTGACCTATGTCGTGGACGTCGCAGGGAGAAGATATTGTGGCTTGTTTTAATTGTTTCATGGTTGTTGATGTATTTCTTTAAGTAGAAGTTGTATTTGTTGCAGTGTAGAAGCACTGAGTAGTTGTTTCTTGATGCTTGAGGGTGAACTATGTTGTGGCTTGTTTTAATTGTTGCTTGAGGGTGAACTCTGTAGTTATTTGATGCAATCAAGTTGTGAACAATGAGTAGTATGTATCTGTTTCATGGATTGAATCCTTTTTTCTAATGCAATGAAGTCCCTTTTTTCTTTCATGTGATGTTTGTGTAATGGTATGCTGGTGTTGGTAATTTTAATGCAGTGGTGATGTTGGTCAACAATGACTACTTATGTATCCTTCAACATAATACAATAACAACCTCAAATATACACAAAAACCTCAAATCACACCATGTATCATTCTCATGAATATTCAGAAACTATCATAAGGTTTAAAGTAAAATTGAATACTCAAAAGCTTCACCAATTGCATTGCATTAAAATCAAAAGTACAAGCACAAGTGTTTAAAACAAGCTTACATCAATCAGATACATAGGTCAATATTCTAATAGTTTCTCATTCCAAAACTAGCTTCCAACTGAACTAAAAAAAACTTCACTAGTAATCAAAACCAAAAGTTACAATCTTCTTGAATGAACTAAGAACTTGTTGCTTGATTGCTTTCCATATTTGTCTTGGAGCTCCTTTTTGCTACAAGTTTTTTCCCCTTTCCATCTCCATTGAATGGTCTTTTCTTGACCTGAAACAAAACAAGACAAACATGAACATAGATTTAATTTAATTTATTTGACAAAATGCAACAAATTGTGAAGATATACCTGTCCACTGGAGGCATTAATCTCATGTGCAGCTGGGATTTCCCTTTCCCTTTTATCTTTAGCACTTGGGCAACCTCTAATATTGTGATTAACACCTTCACACCCACTGCATTTCATGATAGCTCCTTTCTTTCTCAACCTAATTCCACCTGCCTTTGTCTGTGTGTGAGAAGACTTTTGGGAACAATTTTCATCTGCTTCTTTCCTTCTAGCATACTTCTTGGATCTTCCTGGAAGCGTTTGGGACACTGGTGGCATAAGTGGGGCGACATCTACCTTGGGCCATAGATCAACAGCATTCAATGCTCCCATCATAATGGAATATGCCTTCAAAAAAGTATTTTTTTTTGTAGCATATATCCATATAATCTTCTGGCTTATGCCCAAGGTAATACATGGCACTAATGGCATGTGAACATGGAATTCCATTCAACTGCCACCTCCTACAATTGCATGTTTTGTCTCCAAGGTGCACTTTATTGGTTGAGTCAAAACACCCCTCAATCTCAAACTCATCTTTTCCATTCCAGTGTGGTATGAAGTCCATAGCCTTTTTCTTATGTATCTCAAGTATCTTCTCAATCTTAGGACAAAGGTCCCCAGTATGCCTCAACATCATATCTCTTCTTTTATGCATCATTTGCATGAGCATCACTCTAATAAATTCTAGCATGCTGATTATAGGCTTTGATCTAGCCCTCAAAATCATGCTATTGAAACACTCTGACAGGTTGTTCAACAAAAAATCACATTTAGAATGAGTGCTGAAATGGGATTTTGACCGTTGGGAAGGAGGCTTGCCAGCCAACCAATCATATGCATCATGATCTCTCTGTTTCAGTTCTTTCATTGCATTTTCAAAATCAACAACCCTGGTGGCCCTTGCAGCTTTCCAAAGCAGGTTTTTAAGGGCTAGGCCTTTATGTGCAAGCTTAAAGTTCTTATACAAATGCATGACACAAAACCTTACCTCAGCACCTGGAAGAAGTTTATCAACTGCCTCAACCAACCCCTTCTGTTTATCTGACATGATTGTCCAATGAAAGGGATTTTCAATCCCCAAATCCTGCACTAGTAACTCAATAAACCAACACCAAGATTTTGTTTTTTCCTTTTCAACCACAGTATAAGCAAAAGGATAAATCAATTGCTCCCATCAATTCCAA